TTTGCGATCTATGCCACAGCCGGCCGCCACATTTATCGAAAATTCAAGGCTTTACGAGTGGCCAAAGAGACTCAGCCTGTCAGCAATGTAATCAGCATTACTCGATCGGTCACTTCCAACATCACGGCTGCCGCGGCGAAAGCCTTGGCCTTTGAGCCAGCTACGCCATATTCAACCTGCATAGAGTCCCAGCAATCCCAAACTGGAAGCGGGTTAAGCATCCAGTTCAACAAGAACAACGCGATGTGGAGTTATTTTAGATACTCATTCCTCTTCTTCATAGCCATGATAGCTACCTGGGTATGGATCTTTTCATGAAACCTTTACCCAATGTATAAGGCACTCACAAGCCATTACTGACGAGGCTCCCAGACACCATCATTCGTCAATCGAATTTACGGTCTGATCAATTCGAGGGAACCGAATTTCGGCTTGAATTTGGCTGGAGCGTTTGTCCTCTCTCTGCAAGGGTTTTGGAACGCCATTATTTACACATCAACCGCGCTCCCAATATTAAAGTCCCAGTGGGCTTCCAAGGTCACATCCAAAACACACTGGAGGCCACCTAGGGGAGTCGTCGAGAGAGAGACTACTGATATCCCGCTCGAGGACGTGGGATTTGATGGGAGGTCTAATGCAGGCAGCACACTCTCTTTAGCGATCTGTCCACCAGTTCAGTAACCAAAGCTCTGGCTGTTCGAGGCTTACTGTATATGCAGGAGTGCCTAGAGTCAGTCACAAAATATTTATAGAGGCTCATTTTTTTAATATGTACTTACCATTCTCCGGATTTCCCATGGGTGAGTAGGCCAACCATTCTGCCTGCAGGCGTGGTGATGTTGCAACCTTGGTAGCAGAACGCTACATGTTACAACATACCCAGCCAAGGATTTCCAAAACCAAGCGAGGGGAATAATTGAAACACTAGGCCGTTGGACTAAAGCTGGAGGTTACAGTGTTTTTCTTTGGTAGCTATAGTAATTGCAAGTTTTTTTCACTTCCAACCCCTAGTCATCACGGGTAGCAAACCAGGCGAGTTCTCAGGCATACCATGAAGGAAGAAAATACAACATGCACACTTGTGTCCAGGATGAGTAGTAACAAAAAGCTATCCGTGGTCCCATCGCACCCTCGCAACAAGAACCCTGAGTACGCAACAAGCTTGTCTCCTCCAAGTAGAGTGAACTTTACCATATTTGGGTTTGACCTACATCCCATGACAACTGTAAGATAACTCAAGTATGTTGGTAAATCCGATACTATTAATTATTGTGAAATCTCATGTAATCTGCCTAGGACAATTTATTATTCCTACTTGGTACTCGGCGTTATGCCAAAAGATAACGGGATATAGAAAAGTAAAAGCGCCGCCACATTCAGGTTGCAGTATGCAGTGCGCTAGATTGACTTATTGCGACATTAGTCCCGTTTTCTGAAGAGCAGGCTAGGATTATGATCCCAGGTGCACGGTAACACACATGCGCAGTTCGCGGAAGATAACTAGGAATTAATATTTCAATAGCGCGTTCCCTCTCCCCACCCGAACCCCCCCTTTGGGCGACCAGAAAGGCTTGCAACTACTGAAATGCGGAAAGTGGGGAACCTCGTATTAGGGAAAGTCAAATCCTTCGGCTCCGCATGCTCATGTGCGAACCAATACGGAGTTGGAGAACCCAACAATAATGCCACGGTGCTTTGTGTACTGCTTAGATCTGGGTAGCGGGCGCTTGGTCGTTTAGATTTATGGGAAAGTCCCCTTTCTGGCCAAAATAGAGTTCCTATGGAAAGCAACGTGTGGGGTTGCCTATTTCACCCCATGCATTGCTTAACCCCGCTTTCAGAACTAACTACAGTTAGAGTACACGAATGGCTCTATTGCCGTGATACGTCAACCATCATATCACCCCTAACAAGAAGAAAGGGGAGCACCAGGGCGGCGAATAATTATTAAAATTGCTCGATCAAAGGACAGTTTATGATTGATATACAGCGACCACCACTTCGTTTCACTTACCAATGGAGGGGCATGATCGGAAGTTTCCTGTGAATTGCCTTAATCGCTAAGGATTGGCAAATTCACTGGGCTGCTGGTCTTCTTTTTTTACCTGGTCTGGCAAGTTGTTTGGAGCATCCATTTTGTGCAAAGGAGAAAGTCAAGGTGCTGGGCAATACCGTGTCTATCAATGCTTGGTGTCTTTATAAATTGTGCAGACTCAGGTGACTACGTACTGAGCTTTACGATCGATCACCGCAATAGTCAATCAACGCAGTCAGATTTTGAATAGAATTTGTTTAATTTTAGCGGGCTCGAGTGCATTTGATGACAGTTATAGTGACCAACGAGTTGGTTAGGGGAACCTTATAAAGCCTCACGTCGTTGAGGGTACGGTCCCCTAGTGTTCAGGTCTACGGACTTTGTGGACCAGAGGCAATTTGGTCAACCATCAACAGTCGTTGAATGCCCTTGTAATCGTGGTAGAAGGATGGTATAATCAACGCAGTATAAAGACTGAATACGGTATTTTACAGATCTCATTATATCTGACGCAAGTATGCATACACCCTGTGGGAATCGCTGGTGTGTTATTTGGTGATATGGGGTGAAATGAGCAGGTATCAGCGATTTGGAGCTGTCATTGTATGTATATTCCAACAGCTCATAGGAATGAACACATATTAAGGAGATACATACTTGAAACCTGACACTCTACCACATGCGTTAGAGGCCTAGAAACCCGAAAAGATTTGGAGTACTTACAGTGCCCAAAAAGAAGGGAGGAAAAACAAACAAACCAGTATCTTAATGATGGTCACAAGTTCAAGGTTCGCGGGTCAGTACAAGCGACCGTGTCTGGCGCCATCCGCAGTCTAGACGGACAGACAAACAGCTTAACGCAACCAACAGTACTGTAAAGCGAGACTGGCAAGACCACGTCCATGATACCTAGTGATGAATTTGCAGGCACTCTTTGGTGATCCAATGTTGGATCGTTAACAGATGATATGGTCAAAACATGGAACCTGAGCATGTCATTGTTTATTGAATCGCTCCCAGTGCACCACAAGGCCTCAATTTAGGAGACAGTGGAGCATTTGATCCTCAACCAACGTTCCTTAACCGACTTAGCATCACTATTTCTCAAATGAGACTACATTGTCTCTCTCAGCGGGCATTTACAATGGCATAGGAAGCATAAGAATACCACTGCAATAGTGGTGGTAAAAACGAGTACATGGGTTTCAACAGACCTCAATGAAGAAAGGCACCATTGTCCTTCAACATTTTACCAAGCTAAGCACATAAGTGGCAGGATGAGCCGAGAAGTCCATAAATACGTCCTCGCCCGAAACGACTTTGTCAACGTATACCGAGCATTTTGGAATCAGTGACTGAAAACCAGCACAAACCGCCAAGGGTGTTTATGCCTGAGGCACCAGATGAATAAGCCGGTAAACATCCCCGTGACGGTTCGTTCTCCCAAGGCAGACGATAGCCCCCTGCTATATTGACTGCGATCTACTCCGAAGCATTCGTCGACCGATGGCAGCGGCAGTGATGAAGAATCGAATTCGCCATCCATCGCAGCAGCGGCACGCAGCCGGTCGAGCCGCGACCGAGGCAACAACCGTCAATCGACTAAGGAAAGCGAAAAGCACACGAGCCAGTCGAGACAACAAACAGACCTCTCGGAAAGACGGGCAGGCTACACAACCTACTGCACAATTGCGTGCATCCGCGGCATGGTGAACCGAGACCCTCTGGATAAAGAATGCCCCAACTGGAAACTCCAAGATGGCCAGAGACACTCCATGGGACCGCAGGAGTTCACACGCTGGCTTCACCGTCAACTTGCCCGAAACCGAAACCATGGGTTTGAACAACTCCACGTCTGTGGTCGGACGGGTTACCTCATCAAAGCTACTCTTCTATTACACGGTTACACTGTGATAATCAAGGGGTCCCGCACAGCAGCGGAAGAGTATTTGAGCGCCCTCATTAAAGGAGTTTTGCCTCGGTAAAATGCATTGATGTTGGCGTTGTGCTGGAGCAAAGCCTCCGCAAGACCAACGTTGTCGTATTTGACGGCCAAGTGCAACAGATTGCTGTTCTGAAATTTGATGTTGTACTTCCAGATGCTGGGCTGCAGTTTAAAATCAAAGTTTTTGCATGATTTTGCGAGGGCAAATAATGCACTACCGTCCAAATACGACACAATCCACAGCAAAAGCTCGTTGGGCAGCTCTCTGATGTTTGGCTGTAATGTATTAGCTCATCGGTAAACTCAGTAAGAACGCATTGAAACAGACCATGATTGGACAGCGGATGGAGCAAACGAAATATAGATAGGGGTGAGGTGAGAGATGTGAAAGTAGGATATGGGAGGCCTTTATATACTCACCTCAGCCAAATTCTATGGTCAGCTAGGAGTGTAGTCTGTCACTCCGCTGAGAGGTGCGTAGCAATCACACGGCAGCATCAAAGCCTTGACAACAATGTTCAGGCGGAGTTGGAGAATCTGTGGATTCCAGCTCCTGGGAACGCCAAAACGGTTCCTGGTAGTGTGTCAATGACCCCGGGAGACCGACTCGCATCTAGCGCCATAAGCGTTGAAGCAAATCACAACGTACACGCACTTCGAAATGTATAGATGCCACTCGCAATTCTGCCGACTATGCTACCAACCACAATAGCCAATCCTTTTGCCAATGCATGGTCATCGCAATCTACAGCCACAAGTGCAGCTGATTTGGGCAGCAGTGATCTGGAATGATATCCCTTCTCGCAGGCCACTGATCGGCCGTATAGCGGCGCATACTGCGTGTGAATGCATTCTTCGACGTACCGACTGTTTCAAGGAAGCGTTCCATGCCAGCAGCCACGCAGCCATGTAAGTAAGGAGCCTACGGCGATGGCATATAAAGCTGGCGAGAGAACGCCGCAGAGATTGCCCAACACCACCAACAATCCGAAACATTTTCTGTCTTTGACGACCACCTCAATGACTACCATGCTGCCTTGGAATCCGTTTCTTGTTTGTGAGATAGAGGTCAGCCCCAATGGCGGTCCTGGCTCCTGTTGCGGCATGACGAAAAAAGGCACGCCATGCAAGAACTCGATCAAAGTTGAAGACATCAAGATAGGCCATCAAAGGTTGACCACTCTCGCCAGAGAGCCGTTTGACCTGTCAAATTTGCAATCGAAGCTCTGTGATGTTGCCAAAGAATTCCTCTGCGCGAGATGGTACCGGCAACGGCAGGCCGACCAAGTTGGCCAGCAGTGGTATGAAGCAGCCGTCCGCAACCAGGCGCGAGTACCACATGGCTCCAGAATGGCTTCTCCATCAGTCATTGTACAGCGGGGCCAGCGTCAGACATCGTCAGCCTCCAGGCGAAGCCCTGCATCAGACAACACTGACCGGTCACCTCACGGGCTCAGACAAGACCCACCGGTGCCCCTGTCAACCAACCCCGAGCCAGTGCAGCCATTCAATCCATTTGTGACTTGTCACAAAATCAAGATTTTGACCGAATACACGTATGTAGAACCGTTTGTTGAAATATTGGCGGGCTGTCAAGTCCTGATGCCAAGTCACCGGGCGTACGGAAAATAATTATCCCGGATTGAAGCCCGCTTACGATATCGCAGATTCTCCTACTCAACCTCCGATTTAAGGGTTAAGTTACTGTACGCTCAAAGTGGTGGCCGTGAAACTATGACTACCCCTTCTAACGGAAAGACCGATGATGGAAACTGTCAAACTATTGATAAAATAGTAAACAACTTCGTCTCCCAACGTTATGAGAAAAGTCTGAATCCTTTTAGACTTGCCAGCGTCTCCGTTCCCGAATTTGCGACCGAACTGGCGAATCATTTGTCCACGATAGATGAGGGTGGCAGTATTTCCCTTGGCCGTGGAGAAAATCTGGCCAGCATTAGTCTAGGCAAGAGCCTAGAGAGTCTTTTCTCAACCTCGACACCGCGCGTGAGGGAAGGGCCGCCGTTGACTTGGACGAGGCTTGTGCTTTTCGCAGGTCCCAATTTTGAGGGCACGACGCAGCTTAAGGTTGAAAATTCTAGCGTCGACCTGTCCGAAGACGACTTTAACCTCTTACGCTCTGGTAGGCCTTGGCGGTTTCTCTCCCCTTGGCCAGATAGAGACGATTGCACGAAGGAGCTTCATTCATGCGAGACTGCACTGCAGGAGCTTTGTAATGCTCGAAAAGTAATAAACGAAAGTGAGTGTCTTAGAAAATTTGACCAATGATGTTATATGGGAAGCTAAAACCGATTAATATAGTCTTGGCGCAAATCTCGCTTGTTGAGCAACGTCTCCGGACTCATCACAGTTTAGTGTCTCAAATTTCTCAAAGCAGGGACCACGCCACACACCAAGGGAAAGATTTTGCGTGTGGCGGTGCTCAGGCCTTTGTTCCAACTCAACGAGCTTTTGGCCCAGAGCCCGTGGCAGATAATGAAAGCCCACGTTACCAAGATTCACCAATCATCCCTGCACCTATCCATCATGCTAGCAATGCCGGATCGGCTCAGCCAGTTAACGAAGATCCCATTGACCACACTGTGTCAGAAGATGCCATTGTGGGGAATTCTACTCAACGCGATAATTTATGGCCTGTAAACGACGCAAGGCCAGAAGTCAGGTTACACACAGCCGATTTCATTCAAAGTTTAAGCGAGTAAGTGAAGCATGTACTGGGACATCGATGTGATCACTTTATGAACTAACATGTTCAAGAATTCTTGATGATCCAAACAATTGGGAAGCAATTCGCTGGTCAGAAAATGGGAAGTCTGTCTTAATTGCCCAAGAAAGCAAATTTCCCGCGCACATACTTGCAAATATGTCCACAAAAAGCTATCAATCTCTAATTCGGCGGCTCTATTACTATGGCTTCCACAAAACTGGGGGGGCTTACCATCACGATTTCTTCGTTCGTGGTCAGCCTAGCTCCATACGACCGACTCGAGAGATGAGTCACAGCCCCTCACTTCCTTCGCCTATACAAAAAAGCGCTTCTCAAGGTGGTCCTCGGTATAAAGTGATCAAAAGAAAGCGGGCAAGAGATAGCGTTTAAAAAAATACCCCAGTGGTGGAATGAGCCATGCCGGTAGCTGTTTCTTCACTCCAATCAAGGATAATGCTCTCAAAACGCTCGGTAGGATCTCGCTGGTTCAGGGCCCATTATAAATACGACAACAGGAGTACTGTCTGTTCTTACGCATTTGTCGCGCGCTATGTAAAAGGTTCTAGAATCTCAAGCGATAGTCGGGCCTTGGAAGACGAGACTTCCATGACTTGATTGGTACATCTGACAGATCTTCGTGTCATCTTGGCCATGGGAGTCCTCTTGCTTCTCGTGGCATTGATATGGCTTCTGGGAGCATATAAGCCGCCTTTTGGAGTCATCTCCTGAACATTACACGAGAATCCTCTCTAGCCTGTCAAGGAGAACAGGGCATTCGCTCCATCACTTGCACCCACATATTTGAAATCGCAAAAAGCCCTAGGTAGTTCCGCGCATCCCAGGGACGCGTCGGGCTGATAAGTGCTAGGTCGAAGTTACGCAACAGCTGTGTCCGGTCAGTGGTCAGTTAGCGTGTCATCGAGAAGAAAGAGGACTAAAGTAGACATGCGGAGCTGCTTCTACTCACCTCGAATACCGTCTTTCCGATCTCGATTTGTGCCACTGCCTTCCCTAAACACTGGAATCTGCCGTGACCGAAAATGAGTTCGTTGGTCCGAACCATGACAGCCAGCTTGGCAGGGTCCGACTCGAGCCACCGCTCGGGTCGAAAAGCCTCTGCATCCTTGCTGTAGATCTTCTCGCTTTGGTGCATAGCGCATGCGGAGTACCCGATGCAGGTGCCGCCCGGTAAGAATACGCTCTCCCCGTCAACGATAAGAGCGTCGCCATCTGGCGGGATATCACGCGGGAAGATGTTCGTAACAGGCGGGCAGACTCGCAGAGCTTCGCGAATCACGGCCTGGAGGTACGGAAGATTTCTAGCCTGGGCGGCAGTTATAAGACCTTCGCCCTTCCTCGGAGCAAGGCCGCGGCGCGTGGCATCGTCAATTTCGTGCTGTAGCTTGAGGTAGACGCGGGGGTTCGTTATGAGGCACAGAAGGGTGCCACGGATGGCGCCAGCAGTGGTGTCAGAGCCCGCAATTATTTGCTCTAGGGCTTCAGTGCGCAGCTCGTCACCTGCTAGACCGTGGCGCATGAAAGAGGCTAACATATCGGATTTTTCGTTGGTGGAGCCCGCAGCGCGCTCTTCGACAAGGCGGAAGCATGCGGCCATCATCTTACCGAAACCGTTGCTATCCTTGGGCGAAGGTGCAATAAACCTGCCGATGAAGGGCATTTGGGTGATCCAGCTGCAGCCTATCGCAAGGGCGGTATTGCCGATAGCAAGCCCCTCCTCGCTAGATTTGAGGTAGTCGTCCACGTCATGGTCACTCTGCAACATACCGAACGCCTTGCCAAGGCCCACGCTGCTAATAACGTCGAGCGTAAAATATTGAACCTTTTTCGCTAGATCCATGGGCATAACACGGCGGTCGGACGAGATATATTTGGACCGGATGAGGTACAGAAAATCTTGAAGTCGTTCATCTATAGACCGTTCGAGCTGGATATTCTCCCTTCCCGAATACTTTAACAATCACTGGTTAGCAGCCCACGCAGGTATGAATGGGTGGGAATAGACTCGGAGAGAAGTACGAGGCAGCTATCATACCCCTGGAGCCATCTGCTTCCTCCGTTGCTCGTGTTTCGCGTTATCCGTCTGACTGAAGACATTGTCCCTCCGGTACTCGATTCGTGCGGCTTTGTAGTACCAATCGGAGCGCTTGTAGCCAGGCTTGTTGTTTACGTGCATCCAAACTTCGGGAGAGGATGTGATCAGCACTTGAGGCGCGACACGGGCTATCGGACCTAGCTCGGGTCGAAGATGTTAGCTATAGTAGATACGGCACCCTAGTAGAGATGCAAAGCCTCGCACCATATTTCTTGTTGACTTCTGCATACCACTCATGACAATTGCCTCGAAGCATCGCCATGCTATGAGGCCAGTTCGAGATACCGGTCCCGGAAGGTCCCAGGAACTGCATCAACTTAGCAAATGTCGTGATAATTCTGAAGACATAGAGGCTCAAGAGGCAGCTGAGGAGCGTCACAGCCTGACCAGATAAGTCGGCTACCCCCATAGCGGAAGGAAAAACCGGATAGAGTTGGGAGAAGCGGGCTTTTGGTGGGTCGCGGGCCCTGCTATATACTACGGCACTACTGGACATGGGAAACGCGTGACACTTTTTGACTTCAAGGGGATGGGCCTGGTTACATTGACACAACAGTCGTCTATTCGTGGCCTGCTCTCGCGTGCACGAGATCCATCTTCTAGTGCCGACTAGCGTGCATAGAAAGCAGCTATTAAAAGCTCCACATCCGGGCCGTTTTGAGTTGGAAAACAATTAGTAATCCACGCACATATGATGGGTTCTCTGAGCGGCGGCCCGATCCCTCAATGGTCTCGGGGATCTTTCAGTGGCTAGATGTACAGATTTGCTCTTGCTAGCCCCTCTTCCCATGATTCCGGGACACGGCGCGTTCGGCAAGGCTTTAGGGCGCGCTGAAGTGCAATGACATCTATCAAACCATGGCAGATCGCGTGGAGCTCTGGACTTGACTATGGAGTGGGTCAAAGCTTGACCAATCACTAGTAGCCTTCCCCCTCCTCCCCTCCGGGTAACCATATTCTTATTTTTCCTCTTGTTAGTACCCGTATAGCCCACAGACACACCACTTCCCCCCGCCTCCACTTTTCTCCAGCCGTTTTACTGCTCCTACGTCGACGGCTTTCACCCCAGTCTTTGGGATTACATCACGACCATTGACTGAAGATATGGAGCGAATCGCAGTGGTAAGTGGTGTTTTTCATATTCTGATGCGGTCATTCTCATCTCTCGACTAGGACCCAGATTTTTACTCTATAGCTACTGGCTTTGGCGCAGATCCGCAGGACTTTCAGTCGTGAGTGCCATTACGCCATACCTACGGTCGCATTCTCATTCTAGTACATCTTCAGGGAGACCACCTCTATTGCGTCCACGATCGCGAGGGGACGGTTAGAAAACGGCCGAAGGTCAGTCTAGTTCAGTCCAAAATCGCGTCCTGATTCTAACCTAAGAAGTAGATACCAGGCTACAAAACAAGATGATTATTGGTTAGTTACGATGCATTGGTTTGGGTTTACATGGAGTAACCATGTCCAGGGGACCTTCTGACGAGCAGCAATTCGAGGCGTTTGAGATTGGGTAAACGCATCCCATCCCCATATCTTTCATGCTTCACTAGTAGAAGGTCTGTGATTTTAACCAACTCAGCCACATGGTGTTTCTCGTGCTAGACTACAACCAGCCCAATCCTCTTTTTCGCGCCCCTATCGGCGATTCACCCAAGGTTTGAATACCGAGGCGATGCTCGCTTGGACGTCCCGTTAACATCACAATCTAGCATATTCTGGACATTGGAACTGGTCAAGGGAGTTGGGCAATGTAATCCGATGAGCAACACGTTTCAAGAGAACCATTAACGAGTCCTTAGTGATGTTGCCGATCGCTATCCGTCAGGTATTAGATTTCTCGAGACGACTCCTTCTGTTTTGGGCTGACACCGGCTAGCTACCGTCCGCGGCGTGGATATTTTCCCCCCGCCCGTGTCATGGATGCCCCCAAACTGCGTGTTCGAAGTGGATGATGTGCTCCGCGAGTGGACATGGAGAGACTCGTTTGACTTTATCCATATGCGCCTAATGTATGGCGCCTTCCCTCCTGAGGGATGGGACCAGTTATACAAACAAGCTTACGAGTGAGTTTCCATCCTCATTACCCGATGTTTTGTGTCATCAAACGCTCATATCTGTATGTTCTCGCTATAGTGCCCTCGAACCCGGTGGCTGGATCGAGCAGATGGAATTTGACGTGCGAGTCTCTAGCGATGATGGTACCCTGAAAAAAGGACACCAGCTATGGGAGTGGGGGCCTATGTTTATTAGATGCGCCGAGCGAGCCGGACGGTCGCTTAAAACCCATGAAACGATGCGCAGCGCAATTGAGAAGGCCGGATTCGTGGAACTGCACGAGGAAAAGTACAAGATCCCCTTAGGACCGTGGCCTAAGGATAAGTTACTGAAGGAGGTCGGACACCTCCAGGATGCCCACTGGAACGCTGCTCTAGAAGGTTGGGCGATGTGGCTTCTCACCCACTTCGGGGAGCCGGAGCCGTGGACGAAAGAGGAGGTGCAGGTGTTCCTAGCTAAAGTGCGCATAGAGCTGAAGGACCCATACATTCATGCCTATAATCCTGCGTTCGTTTTCTTTCAAATCGTGTTGCTGAATTGTTTGATGCTAATAACGTTCAGGCACCGCGTGTGGGCAAGAAAGCCTACCATGGATGAATTGAAAGCGAAGGAGGCAACTTTCAAAGCTGAGACATCACCGTAAAGCTCCTTTGAGTCTTCTTAGTAGATGGAGATGGACATTTCATAGTGCTCGGATTCCACAAACCAATATTTACATTGTAACCCGCTATCATCTCCTGATCTTGATCAAGCTCAATTATCTAGCCAGATGCCTATACAAATAAAACCTCTTGTTTGTTGAGATCCGGCCATTTCTGGCA